TACAGCTAACGTAAGGTGTAGGTAGACTCCCTATTTACCGAGCCTTGGTCTTCTGTAGACCGTCAGTTGGGTTTGCACGTGACTGAGAAGTCAGACAGTCGCAGTCTCATAGGGCAGCAGCAAGAGTACAACAGTCTTCAGTGGGAGAGAGCAGAGGGAAAAATGTAGCGTTATAACAAGTTCGTATTGGGTACTTATATTTTTACCTGCGAAAGTGTTTGTTAGCCAGACTTTCAAACGCTACCCATACACGTTTATCGTAACATTGATCATGAGATCTAAGGTGTCCCTATTCATTTTGTGATACCTCCCACTTCAGTTTATATAAAAGCATGTGCATATGTTATACTCGAACTGTATTGGACACGGATGAACGGACACGGATGAATGCTTCTGCGCTGCTTGTCAAAAGAGTGCGGGCCGGTTCATTTGATGGAACGTGGCTCCCATTCACTGCCTCCCGGTATTATTCCGTTGCGTTTACACCGGATATGGGATGTGTGGGTTAAAATCTGGGTACTGCAGCGCAATCCATCCATGGCCGTCTGTAGACGCTGGCGTCCTGTTACTGTCCCCATAGAGGTCACATAGAGAGGCAAATTCGTATACGGACGCCGCCCACTCAGGCATTGTTTTCTACGTTTTACCCACGCTGAGACTAATGTTGCATACACCATGCTTCCTCACCACAGTATCTATGACCTTACCATTAATCTAATTATCTCGATTCCGTTTAGGTTGAATTGCACAGTACTCTCTCTGCAGCACCTGCCCCTGCGGTCTCGTTCGTATGCTTACTCACGACACTCTGTCCAGCGCAGTGTTATTCCTGAGGTGCTCTCATTTGCCGGGATTGTTGCAGATGTACTACGGCGCTCAAACACAAGTTCTGTACATCCTGACGGATAGATGCTGCGAATCAGATTTATGCCTACTTGCGTGGACCCAAAAGAATGTCAGTAGTGAGCCAGCCGGAACTTAGGAAAGGTTTGAGTTTGCCGCAAATGATTGTCATGCAAATGCTCGCAACATGGAAATTTTGGCTGTTATTCTTACATACAAATGGAAGTGTTACATGTTCATCTTATTAAGGTACATGATGATAAATGTTCTCCATTTGGGATCTTGATTTGTAATGCACAACTGGGCCTACATGATTCCAGTGCATTGGTGCGAATGTTGCGCAGTTGTTAAGGCTCAAACAGACTACAGCCTCAATATTTAGACGCATGAATACATGATACTATGCGCCGTAGGACTTTACTTCCCTAGGTGTCAGTATCCACACTGTGACCGGAGTCCAAATGCATGCGGACACGTCCGTTCTCCTCGTACGAGAATGCTTTGCAATCTCACTCAATAGAACGTTACAATACACGCAGACCTAGTGTCCGACCATAGTGTCACTCTATGGGAAGTGATCTCGAAATGTCTTCAAACATCAGTGTGCGTGTTGCTCATTTTGATTGTTCCTTCAGTTAACCCTCCCTGTATGCCTAGATTAAATGCCGCAAACGATTATGTGTGTCTGTGTGTCTGTGTGTGCATGTGTGCATGTTTCCACTTTTACTTAGAGTTATTCCACGGTACAAACCTTGGTTCGGCTGACTCGACGTCTTGCTTACATCACCTGGAAAGCCTCGTTGGCTCCCTCACTCCTTATCAGTAAACCTTTCTCATACCAACCCTAACCTTTTCATATCCCGCTTTCTCTTTTCATTCCCCTTTATTAATCGGACGGCCAGCCTTACTGCCCTGCCGTAATCCTGTCTCACTGGACTAGTCTGTTAATCTCTGACTGCTCCCATGATACCGAGCCTTAAACTGTATTGGCTCCGCAGCGTTAATTATATTACCCCATATTATTGTTATAGCCTCTTTCTTATCTGCATTGTACGACCTAGTCCCAAAGCGCCGATTAATCCAATACCGCTTAGTCGGCCTCGTAATCACTAAATTCATTTGGACTTCTGAGACATCACTTCCATTGGTTCGGCTGACCTATTGGTGCTGTTTACACTACTTGGAGAGCCTCGTGGTCTTTTCCACTCTTTACCAATAAACCCTTCTCACCTCGACCCTAACCTTTTCTTCTCTCGCTTTCTGTTTTCAATCCTTTTTTAATCGGAAGTCCGGCTTTGCCGCATTGCCCTGTTCCTAGATCGCCTGCCTGGTCTGTTTCCCTCCAGTCTGCTACAATGCTACTAAGACTACGCGGTATGCGCCCCGTAGTCTTAAAATGATGTTACCCTTAAATGTAGAGCCTGTTTGACTTGCCCACCATCTACTGCTGGCCCCTTTCTTACATATACCACAAATCCATATCCACACGCGCCGACTAACCAAGTCCCACTCGATCGGCCTCATGCTCTCCGGAGTTATTCAGACTTCTGAGACGTCGCCTCTCTTTGCTCGTCTGACTCCACTATCCCTTTACATTACCTAGATAGCCTCGTGAACTTCTCCCACATATCATAAGTATACAGTTCCCATGCTGACCCAAACCCTTATTATCGCGCTCTGCTTTCATATCTTTAATTGGGTTGACCCATCTTATTGCTCTGAGGTGATCTAGTCCCACTGACTTGCCTCTTTCTCTTTTATGCTCCAATGCTACACTGACTAAAGTGGTATGCGCTATGCAGACTCAACGCTCTTGTCCCCCTAGCCGGAGATTCTGCATGACTCGCTCACCCTATATCGTCGCGGATATTTACCTGTCTTTAAATTTACGCGCCATTCCTACGCGCCGATTAATCTAGTCTCGCTAGATCAGACACTTGTTTCCAGTTTTACTTAGAGCCATTCCACGTTACAAACCTGGGTTCGGCTGACTCGATGTCTTGCTCACATCACCTGGAAAGCCTCGTGGGATCCCTCACTACTTATCAGTAAACCTTTTCATACCGACCCAAAACTTTTGTTATCTCGCTTTCTGTTTTCAACCTCTTTTTTATCGGACATCCGGCTTTACTGCATTGCCGCGATATTGGCTCACTTGCCTAGTCTGTTTCCCTCAGTCTGCTACTAAGCTAATAAGACCTACGCGGTATGCGCCCCGTAGTCTTAACATGATGTTTCCCTTAAATTTAGAGCCTGCTTGACTTGCTCACCATTTACTGCTGGCTCCTTTCTTACATTTACTACATGTCCTTATCCACACGCGCCGACTAATCAAGTCCTACCCGATCGGCCTCCTGCTCTCCGGATTTATTCAGACTTCTGAGACGTCACCTCTCTTTGCTAGTCTGAATCTACTATCCCTTTACATTACCTAGATAGCCTCGTGAACTTATCTTACCCATCGTGAATAAACCCTTCTTATCCTGTTTCTAACTTATGTTTTATCGCGCTCTGTCTTCAATTGTTCTTCAACTATCGGTGTGGTGATCTAGTCCACCGATCAGTTTCTTTCACTCTGATTGCTGATATGATACTCTGACTTAAGTGGTTTACGCTATACAGCCTCGACACTCTTGATCCCTAACTACCTGAGGCGGCTAGACTCGTTCACCTTTTGTTACAGCCTCTATTCCTGCCTTTACTTTTACGTGCTATTCCTACACTCCGACTAATCTAGTCTCGCTAGATCAGCCACTAGTTTCCACTCTTACTTACAGTTATTCCACTTTACAGAACTTCTTCCGCTGACTCGACGCCTTGCTTACTTCACCTGGAAAGCCTCGTTGGCTCCCTCACTCCTTATCAGTAAACCTTTCTCGTACCAACCCTAACCTTTTCTTATCTCGCTTTCTTTTTCATTCCCCTTTATCAATCGGACGGCCAGCCTTACTACCCGTCCGTGATCCTGTCTCACTGGACTAGTCTGTTTATCTCTGATTGCTCCCATGATACCGAGCCTTAAACGGTATTGGCTCGCAGAGTTAACTCTATTACCCCATACCATTGTTATAGCCTCTTTCTTATCTGCATTGTACGAGCTAGTCCCAAAGCACCGATTAACTCAATCTTGCTTAGTCCTTCCCATACTCAATGAATACATATGGACTTCTGAGACGTCACTTCTGTTGTTTCGGCTGACATATTGGTAATGTAAACACTACGTGGAGAGAGTTGTATGCCTTTCCACGCTTTACCAATGATTCATTCTCATCTAGACCCTAACTTTTAATATCGCTTTCTGTTTTCATTTTTTAACTCGGACTTCCTGCTTTACTGTCCTGTCGTTATCCTGTCTCACCTGACCCGTCTGTCCCTTTCTGCCCACTTTTATTTCCTATCATCTTTGGCCTTTTCTCTCATTGCGCTCTAATTTTTATTCCCAGAGCTTACACTCATTGCGCCTATCCAAGTTTTCCTCGTGCGCATGATCTCATTCGCTCTGAGCTCGCTCCTGTGTCTTGGCGGCACTCGAAACGTTGCTAAGTGTTGCTTGACTAGTACATCCATTAGTATGCTCAAATTACCACTCTTCCTATTCCTATGCTCTTTAGCTTATGCTCGCACTGGTATACTATTGAGACCGTAGTGTCATAACGACTCCCAATGCAAGGCAGTTTTGGCCCCCTGTGACCATTTTCCTAGATTCTGACGGCTTTTGGACTGTAGAATCATGAACGCTTTAGTGCAATTACTCTTACGAACTACTCCTCGTATTGACGTCAGCATTCATTCGCTTCCAGCCGATTCATTGACATCCCTTTTCCTCTTGGAATGTTGCTATACCTGCTTGCTCCCGCATTCTGTCTTAACCTAGTTGTCCTCAGTTTCACCTAAGAGGCTTCTCGCATTCTGGCTTCGGCCATCATCATCGGTTTACCTGTTTCTCTAAAACCCCCACATCATTCGCTTAACTTTTTGTTGTAACGCTGGGCGGCCTGCTCGCTCTCGCCTGGTTGATTCACGCCTGTTGCTAAATCTGCGCCTTCACGCGTGCTCTGATTTTCGCCTTGGCAAACCCGACCGGAACGAAGACAGAAGACTACTCAGCAGACCAAAGTTGTATTAAGGCAAAGAACGGTCATATTTATATGTCACTATCACCAGGCGGATTTGGCTCTAAGCCCACGCTGCACACCTACTTGTCCGCTGCATCTGTCCGATTCACCGTGTTGCTCGGGTACTACAGTCTTCGTTCGCCTACCCGGCGCATGGCAACGCACGTGATGTCTGACGCGTGATTTCATCAGCTTCCGGTCTGGCCTTGGCAACACGCCTGGTGTCTGATCAGATTTCGGCTGGGCCCTGGTAACATGCTCGTAGAGTCCTTCCCAAGCACGCTTGGTGGTAAACGCGCGAGCGTCGGCTCTCAGCTTTCTCGTCCAACTGTCACCTCCCCTTCCGAATTGAGTCAGCCTGCACACTCTTCGAACCTGAGTGTGTTCGTAGCTTTTCGCCCGGGGATTGATTTGCAGCCGTTGTGGCCTTCTCCGCTTCCGCGCCGGCCTGCATGGTGCATCTGATTTCTGCGGCATTTGTTTCGTCTCACCTGGTTGCTGACATTCAGCTTCCAACCCGAACGTGTCTATTAGGATGTCCCAATGTAAAGCTGGTGGTTCCTGAGGACCTTGGGTTTTGCCATGATTCGGTCTCAGCTGATTGATGTGCCTAATCCATCTCTTACGTCCAACCATCACCTCGTTGATAACTCTGCCTTTCCTTCCGATAACCGTTCCACTAGACCACCCCTTCGGCCTTCGAAAATCCCGGGCGTAGACCATGTCACCAACATTGAAGTTACGGAGCTTGATCTTGCAATCTTCCTCCTGGTGACTGTTGCCGTGCTTTTCTATTCTTCTTGGTAAAAGATTATCAAACAACGTCCGGATCTTTCTTCCAAATAGTACTTCTGTGGGGGCTTTCCCATCAGGGGAGTTTGGATTCGGAGCGTTCCGATACATGCATAGAAAAGCTTGAATTGCATCCTGTGAAGCCCTTTTTTGCCCTGCTTTACAGAGTGCACGTTTGAACGTGTCCACAAACCTTTCCGCCTGTCCGTTTAATTGAGGATGATATGGTGGTGAGAACATCTGATGAATTCCCTTTTCTTTACACCACTCGCGAAAGGAAGTCGAGGTAAACTGTGTTCCGTTGTCTGTCACTAACACCTCTGGCAGGCTGAAGTATCGGAACAGCTTCTCCAGCTCGTTGATAGTGTGCTGTGCAGTCGGATTGTTTACCGGAATCACATCAGGCCACTTGGTGAATGAGTCAACCAAAACGAGATAGGATTGGCCATTGATCGGTCCTGCATAGTCTACGTGTATTCGTTGCCACGGTTTCTCTGCCTTAGGCCAAGGTTGCCACTGACACTTGGGAGGAGCCTTCGCTGCAAGTTGACAAGATTCACACTGTTGGCAGAATTTTTCATTTTCCGAATCCATTTCTGGCCAGTAAACAAAGCTGCGTGCCAAGGCTTTCATGCGGCTGGTACCAGGGTGCCCCGTGTGGAACTGCTGCAATATTTGCCTCTGCAATTTCCTTGGCACCACCACTCGATCTCCAAACATCAGACAATTGTCCACGGCTGATAGGGATGCACGTCGATGGTAAAACGGCCGCAACTCCATAGGTATGCCTCCATTTGGCCAATATGTTCGTACACAGTGCATCGCTTTCTTCAAGATTCTGTCCCGTGATGTCTCCATACGAATAGTGTCGGCTGTTACTGGTAGTCTTCTCACATTATCAGCCAGGATTCGTTGGACCTCTGCTACGAAATTGATGGCTGCCAGCACACAATCATCATTATCTTTTGAGTGTGAACTGATGAGACGAGACAGGGCATCCGCTTGCCCGATTAGTTGCGTCGGTTTATACTGTATACTGAAGTCGTAGGCCAGTAGTATGATCGCCCATCGTTGCAATCGGTTTGCCGTAAAAACTGGAATTCCTTTCTTTGAACCGAATATCGATAGAAGAGGCTTGTGGTCAGTCAGGAGCGTGAACTGTCTGCCATACAGCATCTTATGGAACCGTTTCATTGCGAAAACAATCGCGAGCGCTTCCTTCTCTATCTGGCTATAGTTATTTTCAGCTGGCGTTAGTGCCCGTGCTGCGTGCGCGATAGCCTTCTCTCCTCCATGCGGAAAAACGTGGGAAATAACTGCACCGACACCATAATTTGAAGCATCCGTAGCAACGGCAATTTTGAAATTCGGATTGAAGTGAGTCAAGAGTAGATCGGAAGTGAGAGCTTCTTTGACTACATCAAAAGACTGCTGGCACTCCTTCGTCCATTTCCAATCCTTGTCTTTTATCAGTAGCTGGTTCAGCGGTCCTCTGGTTTGGTGAAGGCTTGGTAGGAAAGCACTGTAATGGCTAACGAGCCCAAGAAAAGAGCGGAACTCTGCAATGTCTTCTGGTGGCTTCATCTTTTTGATGGCTTCAATATTGGCGGGATCCGGGCGCCGGCCATGTTTGTCGATGATGTAACCAAGAAATTTGACACTTTCTAATAGGAACTCACATTTTTCAGCCCGTAATCGGAATCCAGCTTCCTGAAGACGCGAAAGCACTCTCTCCAGTGTCTGTATCAAGTCTTGCGGATCTGAGCCCATAATCAGCGCGTCGTCCAGGTATACTGCTGTATTTGGGATATCGCTCAGCAGGGTATCCCTTATTTGTTGAAAAATGGCCGGTGCGGTTTTCACTCCAAACGGCAGCCGGTTGTACTGAAAAAGTCCGAGGTGGGTATTTACTGTCAGCAATGTTCTGCACTGATGGGCAACTGGGATTTGCAAATACGCATCAGCTAGGTCAAGTTTTGCGAAACATTTCCCCCCATTGAGTTTGCTGAACAAGTCTTCTGGTACCGGCAGGGGATACTGCTGATCTTCCAACACAGCATTCAAACCTGTCGAGAAATCAGCACAAATACGGACTTTACCGTTTCCTTTCTTTACCATCACGATAGGTGCTGCCCATTCGGAATGGTGAACTCGTTCGATTATCCCTTCAGATTGTAGTCGATTTAACTCGGCTTCCACTAAAGACTGGTTTGCGTAGGGCACCGGGCGTTTCGGTCTAAAGACTGGCTTGGCGTCTGGTTTAAGGTTCAATGAGGCAGTAGCTATGTTGCAGCATCCGAGACCAGGTTGAAACAATGCATCGTGACGTCGTTTTATCTCGGCAATCTGACTTTGGAACATCGGGCTTTAAGGTGACGGTTGTGACAGCAGATTGACTTGCGGTGGCTGACATATAATGTTCACTGATTGATCAAGCAGTTTCAGTTCATCCATCCAGTCGAGCCCCAACAAATCTAACCCCGGCTGGTCTGTCACGAAACATGTCGTCTGGATTTGTTTATTGCGGAAGTTTACCAGACAATTCAGTTCACCAAGCAATTTCACCGTACCTCCTGAAGCATTCCGTGCCGTGTGGTCCGATTGTATGAGTGTTGGTCGCCCCAGCATGCACCAAGTGTCTCGAGATATCAGGGTGATATCAGAAGCCATGTCAATTTGTAACTTGACTTGGAAGCCGTTGATTTTCACAATTGTGTATTTGCGCTTGCTGGCCCCGTCAACCTTGAATGTTGCGGTGATAGATCTGGTCAAATTGGGACGCCGGAACGGCCTGGCATTGTTACGCATCTTCTTGGTCAGAACTGGACGAGTCGCCAGGCAACACGACTCCTTATGCCCTTTTCTGCCGCAACGGTTGCAAGTGTGAGTTTTGAATGGATACTCGCGGGCAAAATGCCACTCTCTACAAAACCAGCATGCAGTGGGAGGTTTAGAATGCGTTGAACTCACGTGGGAAGCTTCTTTTCGGGGAGTACGGCTGACTGCACAGACAAAATCTTGCTTGCTCTGCTTGGACACCTGCTGGGTCATTGCAGTATCGTGTTTCAGATTCGTCATGCGTTGGCACTCACCGGTCACTTGCTGCAACGTGACATCCGGATTCTGCTCAATTTTGTTCAGTATTCGTGTTCGAATGTCGGCGACTTTGGATGCTTGTAGGCCACAGACGTATATGAGGCATTTAATCTGATCACTTGTCATCTTGTGTAGTTGTGACCGTTCGCACTCTCGATTCACCCGGCTGGAATAGTCGACCCAGTCTTCGTCTTCTTTTTTGGTTATTGTCAGACACTTGTACCGGATGTTGAACAAAGAAGTCTGTTCTCCGAAAATTTGCGACAGGATTGCAACCACTTCGTCAAAGGACAAATCGGTACTCTTTTTGGGTAAGATAAAATTGGTGAACTTCTCTTGTTCGGCAGCACCCAGCTTCCGCAACATTAGTCGAATCTTCTTTTCTGCTGTAAAGTTAGCAAAATCAACCCGGAACATATCTTCATACTTTTGGAACCACGAAACAAATGTTATGCCAGCATCAGCGTCATAATGAAACACACTGACCTGCTGAGTCAGGGTTTCTGGTGACGGGGCACCTTCACTTGTCGCTAACCCTGGGCTTGACTGCACTGCCGTCTTCTGAGTTAACATCTCGATCAGTTTGGTTTGGGATGCTTCAAACTGCGCCTGTTGTTGCTGCAACAGCATCTGCAATTGTTCAAAGCTAATTGCCATGCCTGGGTTCGGTTGTACTCGCGTCGCCACTGTTGTAACGCTGGGCGGCCTGCTCGCTCTCGCCTGGTTGATTCACGCCTGTTGCTAAATCTGCGCCTTCACGCGTGCTCTGATTTTCGCCTTGGCAAACCCGACCGGAACGAAGACAGAAGACTACTCAGCAGACCAGAGTTGTATTAAGGCAAAGAACGGTCATATTTATATGTCACTATCACCAGGCGGATTTGGCTCTAAGCCCACGCTGCACACCTACTTGTCCGCTGCATCTGTCCGATTCACCGTGTTGCTCGGGTACTACAGTCTTCGTTCGCCTACCCGGCGCATGGCAACGCACGTGATGTCTGACGCGTGATTTCATCAGCTTCCGGTCTGGCCTTGGCAACACGCCTGGTGTCTGATCAGATTTCGGCTGGGCCCTGGTAACATGCTCGTAGAGTCCTTCCCAAGCACGCTTGGTGGTAAACGCGCGAGCGTCGGCTCTCAGCTTTCTCGTCCAACTGTCACTTTTGTTAAAGCGCTTTGTTATATCGGTCTTTTGACCCTGCGCGTGCAGAACATTCTTACCACGTAGTAGTATTAGCCTGAGTCACACCAGCGACGTAATTTATAGAACGCGCTAGCGAATTATGTATAATAAACAAAATTACATAAGTTTAAATGTATCATAGGCACCGGTGAGCGCCACCAGTCTGTGTTAGTGCTCCTTGATTCATTGCTGTCTCTGTTTGGCCACCTCTTGTCCGTTGCCCGTTTTTCCCGAGATTCCCACAGGTACATCCGCCAAAACAAGGTTTATCCACTGAGACTGGCCGATCCATCCTCAAAACGCTTGGTCCTATCTACAGGAGATGAAAAACCCACACACTGGTCTAAATGGAGCTCATTCCGCCATTCCGGAGGCGCTACCTTCATGAGGTTTAAACAAATGAGTTTAGCTTGCCTCGTCCTCAGAGAACAATTTACTCATCTGGAATAATATATATACATGGATCCCCCGTTCTACAACCGAAGACAAACAACTCTGGCGTGATTACCTTCACTGCCTTAAACATTCCTATTCGCCAGTCACCTGGAGCTATTCTGATGTCATTTCACGGACAGCGTTGCGCATGTATACGTGGCTATTCCGATGGTCTTCCATGGAATTTTCATTTAACTATGGAAACAGTTACACTTACTTACATTTGAAGGAATCCCAAATCCAAATTGCGGAGAATGGCGTTTTTACCTATTAAGGACATATTCAGCCACAATAAACAACTTCACTCACCGACCCCATGACAATTCCAGCGTGGATAGCTGGACATGGTTTGCGAGCCGAGCAAGAATGTAATGGAAGAGCCGGCCTCAATAAACAATGTTTTTACTTCTCTCTCTCTCTTCGAATCTTGCCTCATTGACCGACCTCAACTACTGCTGCCGTATCAGTACTAAGCCATTCGGCCAACCAACGAAGAATTTTGGCTGTCAACCGACTGCGAATAATAGAATGCAAAATCGGTCTGTACGATGCATAACCGACTTGCACTATTGTTCACCGAAAGCTACGACAGTGTTCCAGGACGTGGTGTGTTTTCGCCTGCAAGCGTTCTCCCTATAAAAATCCACAAATGTCTGCTTAACAACACTGCAACGTGGCGGATGTGACTCGCCACAAAATTAAGTCACAGCTAAGCATTTGACACTGAAGCAGTCCTCAGACTTCTACATCGAACCTGTGCAACTAATTCTGCTATAAAGAATGATTTGTTGGAGCACAGATCATCTTTATCTCGTAATGGTTGTTGGTTGCAACAAAACCTTGTTTAAGCTCCTGTGCTCACGGATCACTACCTGGCGATATTACCCCCAACATGTGTTTTGACGGATTTTTGTGCGCCACGGCGCCATAATGTCCCAGGGTCTGACTATTACCTGATAGTATGCTCAATCATACGGACAACATCTTTTTTTTTATAACTTTCATTAAAACGAAAGGTTTATCATTCCACAGAAGCTATGTTTGTATGCATATTTGATCACGCCTTTACAGGTGTGTCTCGTTTTACCGAGAATATACTATTTATTTATTTATTTAATACAAGCAGCACTCATAAATCTCTTAGATTTGTCTTCTATCCTCAAGCATTCCCATCTTAAATTTAGCGGTAATGATAACGCCGCTAGTGTAAGTGGGTCGCGTTAATTCCCGGCTACCAAGCGGTCGCTGCTCACGATATTCCAATTTGTTGCTGCATTCGATTGATCAATTGGGTGTAATAATCAACAATTGTGCCTGGTGGCCAAATAGTCTACATCCCTTCTTCGATTTGGAATGCAATTTGGAAATTCGGGATTCAAGACCCAACAAAATTTGTTGCAAGTGTCCAAACGTTGGCTCGTCCGTGTGTAAACTGAATAATCCCAGCAAGTCACTGAGTTGCAATTAACATGCTGATGTTGATGCCACATTTTTTGTTTTATATATTAGTCACACGAATAAGTGTAGCCATATTTCCCTTCGTACGTCGCTTATAATAACCTTAGGATAAGCCGGCTATTATCGAGATAAGTTGCGGAAGAGCAAATGTTTCTGGTACAATTTAAATTAGCACTTGCTAATCATCTAGATGGAATTAATAGTAGGTTATTCCAAATGTAGTGGTACGGTAGTGTTTTAATAAATAATTAATTGGAAATAAATCCAGCACAGCTACAAATGATTCGTTGCGAAGACTAGTTGGAACCGATAGGTATGATTACATGTTGTTATTAAATTGTGAGCGGTCCAATTACGATGAGAAATCCAGGTTGCATGAGAATATCATACGTTCAGCTATCCACATTATCTGCGCCAACTGCGGGAGTTCGTGATTCCCACTATTTGTCTAACCATTTGCAATTAACCATGGAAAGCTCAATGTTTTTATTAGAAGTCACACCACGGGTATGGAGATTTACTCGTTCATTTTATTCCCAGCAATATCTGTGTGGTTCCATTCCAAACCCCGCTGTAAAGATACCATCTTGCCCAGGTGTCCCACAACATACACATTTGAGATATTATATAATTCGATGTTGGGCAAGGTACTTCTTGTAAATTAGCTAAACATTTTGAACACTATTTGAAAGCCGAATTTGGAACAGATAGCGGCAGAATTTACTACATGTGTTGGTGATTTGGTAGCGACATAAGGCCATCTGGCAATGTATGATATTATGGTCTAAAGACGCTTATAGTCAGACCACATATACAACGCACAGGGACCATAAGTCATCAGTGTATCACGGTATATTTAGTTGTGCATCATTCTACCTCGTAAAGGTAATGATAACTTTTGCTTCCGTATTTCCATATATATCTCAATATCTTTTTGATACCCGCACTTTTGACTAAACTTAAGGCTGCATTTTATGTTAACTTCTAAAAACTTTGTAACCATTAACAGTCGCAATGCTTGCTTGTAATTATATGTGCGATTTGCTAAATGTAGAGGAATAGGGCTAGTATTCTTACATTCATTACAAACCCATGCACGTTCGTGATGTTATGGTTCATGAGTGGTATTATTTCTCCATCCAGTTTTTGGTAGTCCATACACAAGTTTAACACATGCCCGTTCGCTACACTGCATACTGTAATTCGAACCAGGGACCTTTTGTATGTCAGTTGATATCTCACGTTGAATGACTAAGATGAAGCCACTTAGAAACAATTATGAGCACCACACCTTAGCCTGACAGACGGATGGCATTTTCACTCGCGTAACACAATTATCTGCTGGCTCGATATCTAAATGGTCTCAACTAAAGTATAAATACCGCTAACATATTTTCTTGTCTCGATACATTCCCTCTTGACAGATGAAACTTATTAAGATGCTTCTTGTGCGACACCTTAAATTATTGTACGTTGCAATATGAGGTCAATATATCCCATCTCAGGTGTCTCTATACGCACGTCCACTTGTACCACTGCCACCTTAAATTCAACACATGGAGGTTCAGACAAGTAATAAAGGTTGATGCCCGGAAGAGCGGGAATAGGTTGTGACATCAAAATCAAAATGCTTAGCATATGTAATTCTCTACATGCTGATGAACTGGTCGAAATATGCTAGTGCATAGAACGAATGACCAGGAAGGGTATTTAGTAACACATGACGGATTGCCTGGTAGTTTTACATCCCCGTTTATTCTCGCTTATATCGAACAACAGACGACAAATACCGGCTATGGTTTACATTACGGCACGATTAGCTGAAGTGGACATAATCGTGCCGTTTCAACGGAAAGTTGCTGACGCCATCTGCATCATATACTTTGTGTAATCTGTATTCCCTATTTCACACGTAAATCGTGTTTGCCCACAGTATCATTTCAGAGTAATTAAATACTGACTTGATGCAATGTGGTAACTGTAATACGCATGCATAGAAGGATGAGCCATAATAAACCTTAAACATTAAGCTCTTTTAACTAAGTTGTATTTTTCGATGACTTCAAATGTTGTCCATGATAATGTTGTGCTCATCATGACTTAGGATATTGTTGTTATCTTCTTTAGTGGAGTATATTATAGTGACATATATAGTCGTTCAGCTGCCGCATCTTGCGCTTCGTATTATTATTCGACCGCGATTCACATCACTATGCAAGCTACATAGTATTACTCCGCAGAGTATGTTAGCGATATATTGGTTAGCTATATATGAAGAGCTTATGATCGAAACGGTATCGATAGAGAGTACTTTAAGCCGTAGCGATCTTGCAACCCTCATGTTCAAGTACAACTGTTATGCAGAGTATTCCTCAGAAATTCGTCAGAAATCAGGAATGCTAGCTCATTACGGATTACAGCGCTCTAATCAAACTGATAAATGCTACAAATTGGGCTTTCTAGCAGAACGTCCCCCGATATCGCCTGGTCTGAATTTGCTCACCAGTTGTACACGTTAGTAACTAGTGCTTCTAGAAAAAGACCTTCGCTAGCGAAGACAGTCAAAACTTTCATAGGCAGC